AACTCCAGCCAGTCATCCACTGCGGAGCACACCCGGTTGATGACTGGCTAAGCCTGCTGTGGAACTGCTGAAAAATGAGAAACAGACCTTGGAGGGGAAATAGACAACTATACACTATGAATAATCTAAATTGAGACTATGGTGCTGTTGATGCTTCCCTCCTGTACAATTCTGGAGTTGGGAAGAGTTACACTAAGAAAAAGAAGAAAGAAAGGTGTGGTGTGGATTCTAGTAATTCTTAGTGAGGTCTAGGACAGGGAGTTGTGTTATCAAGGTCCAGTAATAATACCACAGAGTGTATGAGGAGTGTTGAAGAAGGAGGATTGTGGATTGATGATTAAGGTTCAAAGGGTATGAGCAAAAGATGCAGAGGTGGTCAAAGGATAATGTTCAAAATATGCAAGGAGTCACTAAGGGGCAAAATATGCAAAAGAGGGGGAAAGAAAATATGACTAAATTATGTCTGGCAAAGTATGCATTGATTGTTGTATGTATGTTGTTGTATTGTCTGTTGTCTATATTCTCTATGTATATGTATGTATGTATGTTGTTGTATGGAATATGTATCTCTCTGGTTCCCTCTATATATATCTCCTCCCTGTATAGGGGGTATAAGTGTAATAGGGACTACTTATATACTCTAAGATACAAATGAGCACCAATTGTGGCAATTCTGGTTATGAGAAAGAAATGTACATATGTAGAAATAAGAGATGAGAAATGTAAACAGAAAACAAGGATGAGTAAAGGAGAACAAACCCAAAGAGGAAAAGGGCTGTGAAGGAGTGTACTACTGTTATCCTGAAGGGTACATGTGAAATAATTAGTGTAAAGAAAGTATCTGAGAAAATATCTGATATATGTAATGAGAAACAACCACTGTAAAGAATGTGACCAATGCGAAGAGAACAAATAATTGTAAATGAGAGTACTTGAGGAAAATATGATGTGTGAATCAATCTGTAAATGTGTACTATATGTAGCTACTGTGTAATGTAAATGTAAAGAAAAATATCTGTAAAGCTAAGAATGAAAATAACTATTGATCCAGTAAGAAATGAAATATGGCTTGAGTGAGTGACTATATGTAAAATGGGGTGTAGAATCTGAATATGTAACAATAATGAAGGAAAACCAAGTGAATATACAGTGAAATAATAGAGGCTATGGAAAGGTATGGGTTACCACACTGTCATTGACCGGAGTGCACATATTCCAGTCAATGACCGGCTGAAACGGCCATTGACTGGAGTGGGCTCCCCAGCCAATGACCTCTTGAGCCCGTCATCAGCTGCCGTACCCCTCCTACGAGAGAATTGGAGTGGTACTGCCCCCCCC